GGGGGAGGGAAAGGGGAGGCGGTGGCAGGGAGGAGGAAAAAACCTTTAATAAAAAAATAAATAATAAAAAAAAACAAAAAAAAAAAGAAAAGAAAAGAAAAATGCCCATGATAGGTGCTAGAGAGATGGCCCAGTGGTTAAGAGCATCGACTGCTCTTCCAGAGGACCCAGGATCTGTTCCCATCTTTCATATGGCAGCTGCCTTTAACTCTAGTTCCAGAGAGCCTGATGCCCTCTTCTGACCTCCCTATGCACCAGGCACACCATGCAAGGCGTCCATGTGGCCAAAACACTCATACACATAAAATAAAACAAAAACAAATAACAAATATTTTTATAAGTCTTTTTTAAAATGCCTTTGATATTAATAGAAAATGGAGATAAGAAAAATCGATCCTTTTCTTTGAGGCCAAGGCTTCATCTTGCAGCCAGGAAGCCTGTGGGTCCCCCCTCACATACCGGAAGAGGACCTCTGATAGTCTTACTAGGTAGTGGTTGTTCTACCTGGAGCCACGCTTCCAGAGCCAGGTTCTCTCAACCAGGCTCGGAGTGGCTTGTGGGATGGCTGCCCCTGTGGGGTCTCCTCAGTCAGCAGAGTAGTGGGCTTGAGGCAAGGGAGTGACGGAGATGGATGTGAGAGAGGACACATAGATCATTTTAGGAAAGCACATACTCTTAGGTGCAAAGAGAAGACCAAAGCCAACAAGAGACTACATCATCTCGGAAGGAAGAGCAGCTGAGGAGCCCAGACTTGAGAAGAAAGCCCTATCATGGAGGAAAATAGAACATGGGGGAGCAAAGAGAGACAGTTAGCACAACACACAGCAAGCCTGACCCTTAGGGAAGGGAAGGAAGAAGTATGGAAAACAGTGGGTGTGCAGTTCAGCTGGTGGAATCCACGAGGCCCTGAGTTTGATCCCCAACTGCCACGCACACTGAGTGTGGTGGTGGGTATGCCGGAGTCCCAGTGCCACGCACACTGAGTGTGGTAATGATGCATGCCTTGATCCCCAGTGCCACGCACACCGAGTGTGGTGGGGATGCCTGGAGCCCCAGTGCTTGGAAGGTAGAGGCAGGAAGACCAAAAATCTGAGCCTGTCCTTCGTTACCTACGCATTAAGTCTGAAGCTGTTCTAGGATATAGGGAACCTTGTCTCAACGAAACAAAACAAAACAGAAAAAACCCTGGTGTTCCTCAGAGGGGCCCTGGAGCCATTTGGTTATATAACATACCTGCTCTGGGTACTTAGCTAAAGGATTTCATGGCAGTTAAAAATGCACCCCGCTGAACCAGATTCCCCTTTGTTCAGCAACTGTTATTACTTTAAAGATAACCCTCTGTGGAAGACCATAGCTTTGCCAGGAAAAACAAGGCTCTGACATGGCTAAAGTACGTTACAATTTGTGGCTGTGTACCCAGGATTTGACATGGCGTGGTGTTCCGTTTCAACCCAATTTAATTATATGGCCCTTTCGTATACTGTCGGTGGCTCACCCTGGTAGAGCTTTTTTCGCCTCATGAAAAACTGGCCATGATTTGTCACGAGGGCCCGGTTTGCGGAGCAGCCAGAGGAGAGTCACTGCCCATCATTCGGGAATTATGGAGCCATAACCACCCTCTATTTACATATACTGCTGAGACAGTAAAAACAGCAAATAGATTTCTTAAACTGAGACTGTAGACACTTCCCCCGGGGCTCTGGGCCCTCACTGTGACAGTGACGTATGTGAGTCTGAACAGCTCTGCTGTCTGTTCCTGCACCGCATCATCCCACGGACAGTTTATAACATTCTAATAATAAAGCGGACTCTAAATTCAGAGTCAGGCTGCATGAAAAGTAGATGCTAACGCAGAGCAGTCTCAAGTGATTGTGAAGAATGTTTAAATCCACTACGCAGGCGGCTGCTGAGTAAACCTGCAAAGGGGCCGGGAGGGAACCAGCCGGCCAGAAGGAAGCCTGACCCAGTGATCACCACACAGGCCCTGTGTCAGGTGGCAATCCTGAGATCTCAGGCTCCTGAGCCTTCAACTGGAGAGATGTTCAGTGCATTTGTGTCTCCTCCTTCCCCCTTCATTTCTACCCCCACCTCCCATCTCTCTCCTGCTCTCTCCTTCCCTTGAGGATATCCCTGGGGAAGACACGACTAGACAAAACATTGCACCCATCCTTGACTGGCTCCCCTCCTGAGATTCTCAGTATATTGTATATTTTCATCTCCATATAGTATGTGCATGTGTGAGCGTGCATGTGTGCAAGAGAGAGAGAGAGAGAGAGAGAGAGAGAGAGAGAGAGAGAGAGAGAGAGAGAGAGAGAGAGGTGGATTAGGAGGGTATAAAGGCTAGACAACATCCTTAGGAGTTATTTTTCAGACACTCCCATCTTTACTGATTTGAAGATTGGCTGGTCATTGAGCCCCAGGAGTTAACTGTCTTCCCCTTCCCAGTGCTTGGGTTACATCACTGTGTCTAGCTTTTAATATATGACTCCTAAGGATAAAACTCAGGTTTTCACACCTGCAAAGCAAGCACTGGCTGACTGGAGCATCCCCCAGACCCCTCTCCTTTATTTTGATGCCTTGCATCTTTGTAGAGTTAAGAGCAGAGTTATTTTCAAGACACATCTCAAAAGCAGGCTCTAAAGACCCTTAACTCTTGATTATCTTCCCAGGGTGGCAAGTCAACGCCTCCGTCAATTTAGTTTCTGGTAAAGTTCTATCCAAGCTTGGATAGCAGCTCCAGTCAGTGCAGTGACAGCAGGTGGCTCCCGAAGTCACACCTTGCAGGGAACTGAAGTCTAGAAGGGTGTGGGGTGTGTGGAGGGGGGAAGAGGTAGTTGCATCTGCAGTCTGGCATCCAGTTACTGGCTAACACGGATAACCTGCAACCATCAAGATTATGCAGAACGGAGGGTTCAGAAGGTCTGAGCATCCTCTCCAGGAGGGTCCTGGGGAAGGATGGTGTGCTGATTGTGAGGGGGAGCCTCCCACAGGTGCATGTCCTCCCCTGCCCTTAGCGCCTGCACACAGGTGCACTCACCACCAGAGGGCAGACCGCTGCAGCTGCCCCCGTGCAGACAGGGATTGCGTTGGCATGCATCCGGGTAGAGCACGCAGCCCAACTTCAACTCTGTCAGACCCACGACTTCCGCGAAGCTGCTGCGCTTGTTTTGGAGGGGCAGCTCGTTGTGATTAAGCACCACCGAGTCCAGGCAACCCTGGAAACCACCGAGGACTTGGGTGACTCGTGTGTCCGTCAGACTGCGGATGTTATCGGCCTGCACCAGGGCACCAAAGAAGATGGCACTCTCGGTGCTTAGGGTCTGGAAGTACAGGGGCGCCCTGCGCCGCTCCACATAACTGTCGTCCAGGGCCAGGCTGGTGAAATTGCGATTGAGCTCCAGGAAGACCGAATGCCAGCTCCCATCGTTGACAGCGCGGCTAGAGATGCCCAGGATTCCGGGGCCGCTGCCACAGTCCAGCTGGAACCACAGTTTGCCTTCCACGATCTGCACAGGAAGAAATGCAGAGCCCTCGTGAGTCTAGCTCAGGAACGCTCTGAACCCAACCTGTCAGGTGTTCCATCCAGGCCTGTGTCTTCACCTGCGTGAACTAAGCCCTCCACTACCTGCCAGGAAAACATTGGCCTGAGGAAATACTTCTCAGATTTTCCTGCTGCCTTTCTTTCATAGGGGCGACCAGGAAGCTCACAGTGGTATTTAAAAAAGGTTCTTTCAGCGGATCGTCACCCCTTTAGACTCACTACGATATCTTGTTTGTTTTTGCACTCCTCTCAGTCACAAGAATGAGTTCCATAAACTCAAACTCACCAATAATCACTGGACACCCACCATGTGGTAGTCATGAAGCTTACGCGATGGAGCCAGCCCTTCTGTGGCTTGCTAGTCTAGTAGGTGGATGGCCACATGTTAGCTCTGCAACATCCTCCCCGAATCTGTTTGCAAGAGTGTGATGTAGGAGAGACGAGAGCCAGATAGAAGCAAGGCTTCCTGGTGCCCCGCTCTGTGGGTACTGTGGATTTTAAACTCTCTGTGTTAATCACTGATGTCATTCTTAAGCCCGTTTTTCCTGCATTGTTCACAGTATAGACAAGAGGAACTCCCAGAGTGTACAGGCTTGGCTCCTGCAAACAGCAGGGGTGGCCAATCTTCTGTCTTCCCTGGACTACACCATGAGAAGAATAAATGTTTATATTCCTTTTTTTGTCATCTATAAAAATATGAAATTCATATTCCAGAACTTCACAATTGAGTTATAAAATGGAAATTATGGAAAATCTAATAACATTGAAGTGAGTTTATAGTTTTGTGTTGAGCTGCATTCATAACTATACTAGAGTGTGTTGGTTAGGAGTTAGGCACCCCTGGCTTAGCACTCACGCGTGTGTAACAACACAACCTTCTGGTCAGCTGTTTGCACTCTGGGGGTGTTCCAGTCCCTCGACAGGGTGCTGCAGAGGAGACCTCGGGGTGTCATCCTCATCTCCTGGGGACTAACACCAGGGAGCATTGCCCATAGGTGAGAAAGATATACCACAGAAGGATCCTAGCCGTCCATGTAGACCCAGGCTCCCCTGCTGTTGAGGAGATGGCCTTTGACCCTTGCTTCTCCACTCCGGACTGTATTTCTTAGGAATGCTATATGGCATCAGGATTGAGGGATGGCAGCTAGGTCCCTTTGTAGCCAAGCTTAAATTTGGGATCTAAGGGATTTACAGCTGGGCACCGTGAGACATGGTTCTGTGGACTCCAGTGCCCAGTTGTGAATGGGGTAGGAGTGGTCTGTCTGTCCTGACAGACGCTGACACCTGCATTGCTGTGCAAAGGACATTCTTTCATCAAGAGAAGAAAAATAGAAAGGAAGGATGAAAGTGACAGACCAACAAGGACATTCATTCCGTGTCACCAGCAGCTAGCGAAATGAAATGTTAAATGGATTTTTAGAAATGAGCAGATCTGATGCTTGCATGGCATGTTTTCCTTGAGGAAGCACCAGTGGCTTCCACAGCAAGCTCATCCTCACGAGCATTCTGTCTCCGGAAGGTCCAGAGTCAGACCATCCAGTGACTCTCACCTCTGCTTTGGGACTCCATCAATTGTCTCACCTGCAAGTCAAGGTCACAGATTTGTGCCCCATTGACACTGGGAGCCTAGAGAGCAGGGCAGAGCCAGGGATTCAGAGAATGCGAAGCTTAACTCCAGGTCTGCCTGCATTATCCTGCTCTCTGGACAGCATGGCTCTACCTTGGTGGGCTTGGGTTTGGAGAATGGAAAAATGTGCTGTGGAGCCTGCTGCAGAATGGCTGGCATCATACATCTCTCTCTCTCTCTCTCTCTCTCTCTCTCTCTCTCTCTCTCTCTCTCTCACACACACACACACACACACACACACACACTGCTCTGTAATATACCTATTTGGATGTGAAAAGGGCTGAAAACATACATTCATTTCCAAAGAGCTTTCACCTATAATCGCATGCAATTGCTAGCGTTTGTTGTTGTTTAGCAAACTAGACTGAATGGCTATTGTAAATTGCAGCAAACTTGCGCAGGGACAATGCACAGCTAATACCCACATCTGTATTTGCGTGTGAACAATAAACTGATAGAATACAGCTTTGGATACACCTTTCACAGAAGCCCATCTGCTGTAGAGCCCCATGGCTACAAAACACTATCCCCAGTCTTTCAGAGAAAGTCTGGTGGTGAAGGTACAGTTCACGGAAGTGTTCCAATTAACATATTACTTGGTTCATTCCCTTCCCCCATCACTACTCATTGTCTGTGGGTAATAACCAGAAAGAACTGACATGTGTCTGATACATGTGCACACATTAAAATTCTGCAGCTAAGGAACTAAACTTATCCTCCATGAATACTGAGCACAGTTAAGTCTCCCCTCTCCCTTTTATAACTTAACAGCAGCAGGATCGCTAAGTGAAAGAAGCCAGGTACCCACAGTTTTTACTATTTTCCCCAAAGAAACATCACCTGCATCTTCATGGTTCTAGGCATTTTCAATCATCAGACTTGTTGCCATGACACTCTAGAATATTGGTGTCAAAGTTACCCTGTGAGAAGTTAATAACAGGAGGTATGCTATGCCGGAGATAAAGAACACTTCCTTCTCTTTGAGTTATCTGAGTCCCCTTCTTATGGGAAAGCCGTACTCTAATATTAGTTAATTTTTCTCTGTCAAGTTTTAAAGCATTTTTCTTTGCAAAAGATGAACTTCCTCAAATCAGAGCACCAGTGAGACACGGCAGTGGAGACTGAAGTGTGTCTGAGCTGTGGAAGGTTTGGAGTCACGCTATTGAGATGGCTTATCGGTTGGGCAGGTGGGCAATTGTTTTCGACGATATGCAAAATTCAGAGAAAGATAGATAACCTTGTTATAAAACATCGACACCTTTAGAGTCTTGTGAAGTCAGTGGTGTGCTTTGACCAATTTGTAATGGCTAGGGAATTAAAAGACAAGAAATCAGACCCATAAAAGTCATTTTCAAAGGAAAGGACTTTGAGTAGAAATTATTAAATTATGGGTCTCATTGCTTTGGAGCCTTAGTGTGTCTCTGTAGGTTCAGTGTAGCATAGTCTTGCTAGAGGGCTGTGTTAGCTAGCTTTATCGTTGCTGTGAGCAAAGTGTTTTACAGAACCAGCATAGAGGAGGCTTTCTCTTCAGCTTGCACTTTCAGGGCACCCGGTGCATCCCACCCAGGAGGGTGTGATGGGAGCAGGACAGCTCCCATCATGGTGGTCAGGAAACAGAAGAAAAGTAGACTCGGAAAGGAATCTCCCACATTTGAGGTGGGTCTTTTTCTCCATTAATTATCTCTAAAAGCCTCTCCCAGCCATAGCTAGATGTGTGCCTCATGCATCCCCTAAGTACATCTAAGTCTAATCAAGCTCTCAATTAAGACCAATCATCACAAGGGTCATTAAGTAGTCTCTGGAAAGGATACCTTCCGTCATGTCTTTTCAAGGCCACTTAGTGGGTACGGGACATATGGGGTACCTTAAGAAAAATTATAACTGGATGAGAAAATAGGAAATAAATAAATGGGCGGCTGTGCCTCTTCTTGACTCCTGGAGTGCTCTTGTCTCACGCTAACTGTGCAGTAGTTGCTGCTTGTCAAAGACGTCTGTGAATTCCTCCAAGCCCCAGTCTCCTCACAGACAGATGTGGGCACTGCCTTTGGGGAGGGGGTGGGAATCAGAGAGAGATACATGAGAAAGTATTCTGCAGCCTCTGTGGTCTGTGATGGAAAGACCTGCCCACACCACCTACAAACATACCCTGTATTTTCTTCAGTTCTGGGGTATGAAGCCAAATCGGAGAATAATCTGGTTAAACGACTTATTGACATATCACATTCCTTAATATGTTTTTATATTTAAGAACATTTCTACATTAGCAACCGAGGTTTCCGTCTGCTCTCCACTTGTTGCCAAGAGGTCTGACGCCAACGCTCTGAGCTTTGACTTGTCCTCATGTCAGCTCTGGAAATCCGACACTTTGCTCTTAACAGGCATGGAGGGGACTGAGCCCTTTCATACTCCATTGCCTTGGTTGCCAGGAAGCTCAGAAGTGGGTTTGTGCTCGACTAATGTATTTTCTATGCTGTTTCTTCAATCATGATATTTTTCTTTTCTTTTTTTAAACTTCATTGATTGCATTGTAACCTTTTATTTTCATGTCAATGGTCCTTAGATTTTTATTGCATTTTTGTGTTTATGGTAAGTCTCAAATCTCTTTTAGAAGCCAGGGTTGTAATGGGAGATGGAATGACAAGTGTTTTTTATTGCAGCTAGGATACAATGATACGTCTGTCCATGATGGTCTTTGTCCTGATCACCATGCAACTCTTTACTAGTTGTCAGGGGATGCCCTTTGCCCCCTAATTGTCTTAAATACATTTTTACAGAACACACTCTGCTTGAGAAAATGCAGGCAACAAAGAGGTGCAGTTTAGGTCAGGATTTCGTATTAGTGGCTGAAGCAAAGCACAAGGTGCTCACTGTACCTAAAGCCAAAGAGATCAAATCTTCCGTGAGGCTCAGTGTCAGCAAGCCCCCTATGAAGATACTACTGGCATCATGGGTGAAGATCTACCCCAGTTCAGCATAGCTGCCTCCTGCTCTCGGCAGACCCAACATGTGCAGAAGAACAGAGAGAGGGCAGTGATGGCCCACAACCCAAGGCCTTCACAGAGGGTCTCTTCAAATAGCAACTAGCCTTAGATTATTGGAATTCATATTTAGGAATTCAATCATCCACTTTCAGAAACACATTTGTTTCATGCAGTATCACACACCTGTGTGGCGAGTGCTCCTTCAGGGGCTTCTTCTTTTCTCTCCCTGAGAGGTACACTGGTAACACACTTGCCTGGACAAGATTCAATGCAGGATCGACTCATCCTTATTGGATATTCTGCTCCCTCTCAAGCTTAGTGCTACGCAGGGATTATCTAACAGCAAATATTGACATCACTTTAACCTGTTAGAGCTTGGAAGAGGAGAGGGAGGGCCAGAGGTACCAGGCCCTGGTGGCTCTGGGGAGGCTCCCTCCCGTTACATTTCTAGCTGCTCCTGTTGGATGCTCAGTTTTCACTGGGCAAGTACTGCAGACTCCTAAAGAGCCCGAGCAATAGCACAGCGAATAAGAGGCTAAAATAAAAACCGAGATACAGAACAGGACAGATCAGGGAAGGCTATTTTTCCCACACTCCCATGCCCAGACCCTGGATCTGGTCTTCTCTATCCCCTAGACCCCAAAGCTAGATCTGGTCTGAAGATGCACAGGATGTGATCTGTGGTCAGCTGAGCGAGAATGTCAGCACAGAAAGTGGAGGGGAGCTTGGGGGCGAAGAGCACGGGGTGGGATATGCTGCCCTGTGGGCTCAGGCCTCAGCTCAGTAACTGAGCAGCCTCGGATGGATATGCATAACTCTCTGGGTTGTTCTTCTTGATCAGGTAAGTGGGGATAATATGTCCATAGAATATTAATATTAAATTTTAAATTAGAAAGATGCAGATACATCTGTTAGTATTCTTGGTATAATTGTGAAGGCTCTAGATTATTATGTACAAATGCCAGGTTTATTTTAAAGGAAATATGGCTACTTTAGGCGAACTTCTGAGGTCAAAAAAGAACTTAATAATTGGATAACTTCCCAGTCGAAGAGAGGGAGGAGTGATAATATGAGCAAAGGGGTAAAGACCGTGATGGGGATACTCACAGAAACAGTTCACCTGAGCTACGGAGAACTCAGTGACTGCAGAATGACAGTGAGGGAACCAGCGTAGAATCAAACTAGACCCTCTGAATGTGGGTGACAGTTGTATGACTGGGGCAGTCTGTGGGGCCACTGGCAGTGTGACCAGGATTTATCCCTACTGCTTGTACTGTCTTTTTGGAGCCTATTCTCTTTGGAGGGATTCCTTGCTCAGCCTAGATATAGTGGGGTGCACCTTGGTCCTGTCTCAAAATGATGTGTTAGAATTTGTTGACTTCCTATGGGAAACCTTACCCTTTCCGAGGAATGGATGGGCAGTGTGAGGTGGGAGGGAAGGTAGGGGAGGAGGGAAGAGGGGTGGGAGTAAGAACTGGCATTGGTATGTAAAATGAGAAAAGATTGTTTTTTAAAAAATAAAAAATTAAAAAGTTGGGTGACTTGGGTCATGATAGGATATATAGAATATCTGTGCCCAAGATCTTCTACTTCCTCCCCAGAGACAGTGTGGCTAGCCAGAGTATGGAGAGACATGTGGTGGACATGGACAGTCAACCCGTTAAAGAACTGGCCTTGTCTTGGAATTCATAGAGAAGTCTGTCCTAATGAGCTGTAGGGTGACTAGAATATAAATACATACTCTAGCCCTTTCCATAGGGAGATACCTATTCTCCTCCAGCCAGCTTTAAGATACACCTAAACAGAAGGATGTTGGTACACTTTCCACCCCGTTTTGTTCTCTTTTGTCCTGAAGTCTGTTCTGGTCTTTCAAACTCACAAGACAATAATTTCAGTATCTCCCAATCTAATAGCCAGTGTAGCCATATAAGAAACGATTGTGTTGGGACATGGCGGCTCACTCTCATAATCACAGCATGGAGAGGTTGAGGCGGGAGGTATGTTTTAAGTTTGAAGTTGTCTTCACAATAATGCAGATCACTACAAGACAGAGCTGCAGAAGCATGAAACTGTTTTTACGAACCTTCAGAATCATGCAGGGGTTGGCCCGGGTGTACATTATAATCCCATTGCTTTGCAGGGTTCTCAGGCGCAGGGCTAGCTTGAAGTCCTCTTCCTTGCTATTTTCAGAAAGCCGGTACTTGATGTAGCTGTTTCCAGCAAAGCTGAGAGAAGTGTGCCCTGAAAAGACCATTCCAACGGCAAAGGCGTTCATTTAAAATCCAGAGATCAAGGACCCCACCACACACACAGCAGAAAAGCTGATTACAGATCACAAGCAGGTAAGGGTGGAACCCAGGGATCTCAGGGATCTCAACTAAAGCCAGTTCACACAATTCTACGTCATTAAATTATTAACCAAATTCACCCCACTTATTTCATGTTCAGAGTAACTTGGTGAACTCCATACTGTGGATTTTCTTAGTATCATTAGATTCTTAATTCCCTCTTTCCAAACTTTGTATTATTAAAAGGTATCATTTGCTTCCTCCCCCACCATTGCCTTCCCTTAGACATGTAAGAGTGTGGCTGGGTCAGGCAGTGCATGCCAGAAATCCCAGCAATAGGAGAGGTTGCTGCAGGAGGCTCTCAAGCCTAGATTATAGAGTGAGTTCATTGTCACCCTGAATGACTTATTCTCAAATGAAAAAGCAAACGAAAGCTGTAGCTCAATTATAGAGAACTTGCCTTGCATATATGCGGTTCTAATTCAATCCCTCATAGTGAAAAATGAAATAAAATAAAATAAAAAGAATTTTCAGTTTTATGAAACAAGGACAAGGCAGTGATGCTACTCTTGTGGAATACTTATGTTCTCCAGGATCTCAATGCCAAACAGCCAGCTGGTGCCAGAGGCTGAAGAGAGGAAGCCCTCTGCAGTCACAGTTCCGTTTGCTAATCATGCACTACAAGGCTTCCCTTCTCAGGCTCTCTCTCTGTCTCTCTCTCTCTGTCTCTCTCTCTCTCTCTCTCTCTCTCTCTCTCTCTCTCTCTCTGTGTCTCTCTGTCTCTCTCTCTTTCTCTCTCTCTCTGTCTCTCTGTCTCTCTCTTTCTCTCTCTGTCTCTCTCTTTCTCTCTCTCTCTGTCTCTCTCTCTCTCTCTTATCTCTCTCTTAGAAAAGTATAGGCTTAAGATTGAGGGTCAGGAGAAAAGAGGTTTTCAGAGGAAAGTCGGGCAGAGCGGCTAACATGGCTGTGGGCTTCTCGGAGCAGAATCACCCCTTCCTAGCCTGTGTAGCCCAGCCCACTTACTCACCCGATTCTGAACTCACCTTGTTCTGAATTAACCCTCTTTTTAATTCCTTAACCCTTTCTCCAACACAGTGCTGCAGCAAACAGATGGATAGCCACGTAGAGTGAAAAGCAGGGAGTACGGAAATAAAGCAAATGGACGATGGTCATGAGCAAACCAAAGTTCTCCATTTAGAAGTTGGCAGGAAGGGATGCTGTGTACTTGAGATGTGTGCTGGGGTAGGAACACCTTCGTGACTCTCAAGCTTCCTGGTTTTCCCTTCATTTCATGGGCAGCTCTAGACTGAACACCAACCATGGTGGAGTTTGGTTCCTATTTTTATAATAGGACTTCCCTTTGCAGAGAGCTTCTCAAGGCCCCGTTCTGCCAAATGCCTTATACATTGGCATGATAGCTCCTATTCCCACAATCACCAGTGTGATTATCATCCCTTACACTGCTCACTATTGCCCACAGCCATGCTGTTGGGTATGCATTACAAGAGATAGTAGTTCTCTTTGGTTCCAAGATTGGCATCGGTGTGCCTGGGTGTTAAATGCACCTCACTACCAGTGTAGCAAATGAAGAAAGATGCTTTGAGGAAAAAAAGAAGTGAAATCAAAGTGAAATGAGTGGAGAAAAACATCAAAGTGGATGAAGATCCGAAGTAGGAAATTATTTGGATGAAATGATGTAAACACTGATTTTCTTCTTTAAGATGCAAAGGTAAACATCTCAGATTTCCACAACATGGACTCAGCTAGAGCTCCACCCGGAAGAGCTGTCTTACTTGGTGTTTAGGGCTGGGTTTATTCTACGGGAAGCTGATGAGCCTGGCTCACATCTACCTCCTGCTGGCCTGGGGTTTTTAACGACAGCTTGGTGCAGTTTTCTGAATACCAGAGGCTCTGTCTCCTCTGTTCTTATAGCAGGACTCTGTCTTTCATAGCTGCACACTCTCATCAGCCATGAAACATGACCGTGCACCCAGGATGCGGCCTCGGCTTTACACAAGGACCTCCGCTTTACCTCTCGTTAGCATAGACCAGCTGAGACATGTTCCAGCTAAATATGAGGGTGAGCATAGGCCATGCTCCATTCTGAGGGTAAGTGTCGGATGCACCTCCATGCGTCTTTTGGAGGGGCCTGGGCAGAGACATTCACACAAAGAGAATGGTTCAGGAGTGGAGCTCCAACCCTGAGCTGGCCATGGCTCCGTACCTGAGCATTCTCCAAGCTTTCCTGCTGGACACTGGCAGAGGAAAGGTCTCCTGCTGGCCTCGTAGCCCACACATTGCATGTCCTCTGGACACGGCTTCTCCACGCAAGGATCCTTAGACCCCGGACACACTCCTCCTGTGGCAAAGGCAGAAGAGGCATGATCAGGACAGTAAAAGATTCAGCACCAACTTTATGGATCATAAGAAATTGTCAAGGCTTGGGCTTTATGTGATCTCAAGTGAGCCACAAAGGGTCCACCCAGAAACGTGCATTAACATGGTCAACATGGTGTATTGGTATCCATCACGGATCTCTGTGTCTGTCAGGATTTTAGGGGCATGCAGAAGCAGGATAAGGGCAAAGGAAAATCCAGAGCTCATCTTATTAGGACAAAACATGCCAAAGTTTTATTTGAGCCAATTTCAGCTAAAGAAAGATCACCACATCGACTCTGCCAGGAGGTACCAAAGGTTTCCAAAATCCTAGCATCATTTGCAAGCACCGTGAGCTTATCTCTTTTCTGCAGCCCAATACCACTCTGACTTGAGGGCAGATTGTAAGAGATGTTAGCTGTTGATTTCAGGGAGAGAAGGCATGTGTGTGTGTGTGTGTGTGTGTGTGTGTGTGTGTGTGTGTGTGTGTGATGGTTAGGGAGTATATATTCCTAAATAAAAGTCTAACTGTAAATTGTGAAAGCACAGTTTATTTAATTTCCTAATCCTCTCTGTCACGTGGTATTTTATTGATTATCTATAAGGAGACCCTGACAGCTATTAAAAAAAGCAGAATTATCCTTGTCTTCCACTCCACTGCTCCATTCATGCTTGGTCAGATGAAAGTTTAATCCCTTAGAAGTGAAATCCCTGGGAGAAGATTAAAACGAACTAGGGCCGGGGTGAATTAGGTCAGAACTAGGGTGAAGGCAGGTACCACCTGTAAGTCCCAGTCTCTGACCTCCATCTTTGGAGGCCCCGTCCCTGTGCCCGCCAAACCTTGACCTCGTCCCCGAGAAGGGGCATGGTAGCCTGCCAAAACCTTGACCACTTCCCCAGTCTACTTAAACTGCTCCCTGGAAAGTCCCTTCTGTGTCCTCCCAACCTCAGTGGTCGTAGTCACGTTTGCAGCTTCCTGGTTTCCCCTCGGGGCCACCCTAGAGCTCAGGAATCCCATTAAACCTGGATATTCTTTAATTTGGCTTGTTGTGATTTGGCTTGATTGGGATTTTTTTTTTTGTGGGCAGAGAGCTCGTGTTAGGAATATTCCTAACACTGCCTATTGAAAGAAGCAGGTTTTTCACAGGCCCCAGAGTATTTTAAATGTATTTAGGACTTTTTCAGCCTGAAAGAGTTTAAGGGCCAAAGGACTTTTGAAAAAGTGAATCAACTGAAATTAACCCTCAAAAGCAACGACAGTTAATATCCTCAGTAGCTTAGTGCTTGCTGGGGTGCTCCTTCCACTGAAGGAGGAACACCAGACTTAAGGTGCTGCCTTCACTGGTACGAGCTGGTCCTTGAACATGCTCCTCTCCACGGCTCCTTCCCTGGCCATTAAGGCTGTCCCATGATAGTCATCTCTTTGTCCAGGAGAAAGCAGGAATGTGAGCTAACTGCCTATAAACATTTTTGGAACTGCAGTCCTCAAGAGGAACATCCAGTACTAGCAAAGTCAGGAGTCACCAATCCCATCTGCCGCTAGCTGGAGCCCAGTTGCAAAGCTCACTCTTGGCATTGCTGCAGCTCTCGGTCTTAGAAGATGGAGGAATTTTAAACTCAATATTTAGAATAAAAATCAATCTTGAGATTTATTTCACCCCAAGTCTTTATGATTTCATATACTCACCAGTATTGATGAGATATCAACTGATGTTTGACCATCTCATAAGCCACTTCAAGGAGCTCTGATGACCAGTTTTAAAATAACTTTAGGTGTATTTGTTCAACCAATAATAACTTGTTGAATTCATTCAACAAGAACACTAAAAATATTAATTCAATAGAGCAAGTGAGAGCAATGAGCTAAGAAGCCAGGGCCTACAAAGATGGCAGGAAACCATATCCACAGACATGAAACGCACACATACATTACATATCAGATCACTGTTTGACAGGTGTGTGAGATCAAGGGATGTCCCAGAAAAGGGATGGTATCTCCTGTGAGAGCATCAGCCCTCTTTGGAAGGAGGAGGTTTATCCAGGTTATCTGGGTAGACCTTCCAGCTAGCAGTAACTTCCAAGAGGCCCCACGTGCAGTAGTTTATGTACAAAAATCTGTTGCTCTCCATCTGTTACATTCCTGCGCCTTTCTGTTTCAGGACACCTAGGCATCCGTCTCCAGATAACTCTACATTTTTGACACACCACTGTAGATATTGCATTCATTATCTGTTATGGTTTCATGTGACTCTACACTTCTAAGAAATCTTACATTCTCAAAACTCTGATTTAAAAGCCACCATTTCTAAAAAGAAAAGATGGTTAGGTGAGTTTAGACACGTGACAGCAATAACATTTATTCCTATAGACGATGCGATAATATTTTTGAAATTAAACTAACATTTGTGAGAGTATCTAACGAAAGGTAATGATTAGGTTTCAGAGGACATTCAGAACTGAGGTGTTTCTACATTTCATTCGCGTGTGGCCTGTCCCCATCGCTCTCATCGTGGTAGTTAACACAGGACTGTTCACTTGATCTGCCGATTCTCTGACTTTGTGATAAAATGCAAATTCACTTACCGGCAATTGGATTTCAAGCTCACAGCTCTTTTTCTTCTCAAGGCTTTGTGTCATAATACACAAAAATGCATATAATTAAACCACAGCCACCAATTAATGAATGTTTTAGATCCAGTCCCCACTAGGGAAAAGCAGCATTAGTATGTATGAAAAATAGTGATACAAATATAGCAAATGAATTATAAAGTGAATAACAATATTCCATATATAATTATGTACATGTGTTTTCATTCTATCTGATTGTGACTTAGATCATGCCTTCCTTCTTTTTGCTTTTAATAAGCTCTATATTGGGAAGGGGACATTTTTGGGGTAAGGAATGTTACTCTGGCAGCTTTAGGTACCTGCAGGGGCCCTTGGCCTTCATGCCAACCTGGGATCTGCTTAGCCATAAATAAACAGAAAATCCCGCTGCCTTTCAGAGAGCTCGGTTCACAGACCCACACTCTGGTGGCTTAAGGAACCCTAACATCAAACAAGAGTCTGCAGGCCAGTCTGCATTCAGTATGCCTCTTTGGCAAATGCAGTTGGGTCAACAAGTTTATTCCAAATAAGTGCATAAAACTATTGAAAACAGGCTTCCTCTGTGCAGGGAAGTCTCTACATCAAACACAGTTATTCTCTGCTCCTTGTAAAATGGCATAGGAAGCAGGTCCTTTTTGAAGCATATATTGTCTGCTGGCCTCTGATGGACTTAGGGCTGGGTTCTGGGAACACTTTGGGGATTCATGCTCTTTTCAGTTGAGGTCTAAAGTTTTCTAGGTACATAGAATGCAGCCTACCTGTGTGGGCCTGCAGGGGTTGACCCGATTTTAGGAGTCCCATGTTTATGTCATTCCTTCTCAGGCAACTGTGCACACCCATTACTGTTGAGAGCTTTACAGACCCTCTATCTGGTGGCAGAAAGTGGCTCATCAGCTCCCAAGTACCAGTTAAGAGATGACAGTGTCAACTCCTGTTGGCTTCTGGGAGGAAGTTTATCTTACTAACTATTATTAAATAACCCAGGTTTAATGAACTTGTGCCGTGCTCTGTGACAGCTCAGGGAGCAGGGACCACAGATCTGCATGTTCTTCATCTCCAGGCATCCGTCAATGTGGAGCGAGCATGAAGGGAGAAGGCTTCCACTCCATCAAGTCAAATGACTCTATTTGTCCTAGGCCACTATAGGGTGGGCGGTGGGAGCCTCCGTCACAACACCAAGCAGGAAGAATGAGCTTCCCCAGGGAAAGGGTGAAGTGTGAGAGGAAAGGTTCCTGATCTTATTGACAAGTGGAGGACCTGGTTAGTTATTTCATTTATTTACTCTGTGGTCTTGAACATGTTGCTTGGCTTTCCTGGATTGTGATTGCCTTTCAGAAAGTCAGGACAAAGATTTTTCACAGTGCTGTGGAAAGGGCCAGGGCCTGAGAAAATAGCTGCATGGAAACCTTTGAAAGAGGCTGCAAAGCTGGTGACGCTAACACAAATCGCAGAGACCCGATCCTTTCACCTGGTGCTGGATTTGGGTCAAGACTTATAAAGTGAACAATGATATGGAATACAATATATATTGGAGGTATAAAATCAGGCCTGGAGCCCTTTATTCTTCATGCTCACAAAGCCCGTGTAGCTATGTGTCTATGCTTCCAACCACATCCCAGGTAAAGCCTTCTGCTTTCTCTAATCCGCTGATAGCTCTTGTCTTCACCCTGTGTACAGTCCCTTACCTCCACCTCTGCTCCAAAGCCATTGGTTTTCCACCTTAGGTAGAGTCCTCCTGACTTTCTCCGTCTCAGGCACAACCCCTCACCTCCACCTCAGGCACAACCCCTCTCTTTCTAGGTCTCAGGCATGACTTCTCACCTTCTTCACCTCAGGTACAACCCCTCACCAGGTCCACTTCAGATACAGCTCCTCAGTCTCCATACCAAACGCTGCCCTCACCAGGTCCACTTCAGATAAAGCTCCTCACAGCCTCCATATCAAACACCACCCTCACCAGGTCCACTTCAAGCACCCCTTACCATCTCTTCGTCATTCGCAGTCCCTCAGCCTCTTCCACTCCGGTTACATCTGTGTCCCTCCTCCTCCTGCTCCTTCTCCTTTGGCTCCAGTGGCTATCTTCCCTACCTCAACTGTGGCTGTTCTTCTAACCCCAGGGGAATGCATGTGGGATGTGTCTGTTCTCCACAACTTTTCCGCTTTCTGAGGTTCTTCTCAGGTGGAAATTTAGGTCTCTTTCTACAATACTGACAACAGAAAAGCCACCTGAGCTTCATGCGTCTGCGCAGTTCAAAGGGTGGTTCCTTGGAGACTTTTGGAAGCTCTTGCTTCCGTATTTACGATTCTCCTCATTGCCACAGTATTCCCAGAGCCCGTGGGATTATGACTGATCCAATGGCTAATCCATCAGCTTCT